ACGAGGCCGGAGGCTTCCGGGGACAATACAGCTGGGAAATTAATCTGCTTGGGACAGTCTGGAGAGGCCGCATCAGATTTTCTTTGCAGTACTAATTCTTGAGGTGAGCTTGAGAAAAACTGCAAAACAGATAGAAATAATCAGGAAAAACTGTGTGTGTGTGTGTGTGTGTTTGTAAGAATGCCCTTAACAAAAATCTTTAGTAACAGATCTTCATGACATATGTCCTCTAACTAGCTACTTGCCATTTGGGTTCTCAAGCCCTCCTAGGGTGTGCAGAGCTGCCTTAGAACAGTGGTTCTCAAAAGTGTGTTCCCAGGCCAGCCCGTGGCTCACTCGGGAGAGTGCGGTGCTGGTAACACCAAGGCCACGGGTTTGGATCCTATATAGGGATGGCTGGTTGCTCACTGACTGAGCGTGGTGCTGACAACACCAGGTCAAGGGTTAAGATCCCCTTACCGGTCATCTTTAAAAAAAAAAAAGTGTGTTCCCCAGACCAGCAGCAGCAACTCACCTGAGATCTTAGGAATATAGTCTCAGGCTGCACCCCAGACCCACTGAATCAGAAACTCTGGAGGTAAAGCCCGTAATCTATTTCCAGGTGATTCTTATGACTACTCAAATTTGAGGACCACTGCCTTAGAGGCTTGGGAAGGGGTTAGAAGTTAAAATTCATTTGGAAAACTGCTGCTTTTATAAAGGTAAAAAAAACCACCCAGCTCTCAACTTATGGTCAAAGCACAGTTTCTACGAGTATGTAATCTCGAATTTAGACGTAAACTAGGCAGGTTAGGTGTATACCATGACAACAAATAGAATTATGATGACATTGTGTCAAAGGAACTAGTGGGTCTTAAGGAACATTTAGTGAATCTTTGTCTATACATGAGGAATTTTATAGAAGGAAAACACACACAGAGAAAGACAACGTTTGAATCAATCAGAAGGGTAACTGGCAGAGCTGACTTCCAGCTAGTAGTCTAAATGATAGCCAAAACTGAGGATTAAAGGTCAGTGGATATAGGAAAAAAATTTTTTTAAAAAGACACATTTCCTCAAATGATACAATCCTTCTGGAGGACAACCTATTAAAATTACAAATGCATTTTCCCCTTGACCCAGTAATCCCAAGTCTGGGAATTTTTACCACAGTTAGACTTGCACACAGTCAAAATGACATACCTACAGATATTAGGTTAGACCACTGTGGTTAACAGCAGAAGACTGGAAACAACCTCAGTGTCCATCTGTATGGGACGAGTTCAATAAACAATGGCACATCCACATGCAATATGGCTGCTATAAAAAAGAATGTGCCTTCTACTTATATGACATTCTGGGATAAGCACAACTATGGGGCAAAAATATATCAGTGGTTGTCGGGGGAAGGAATGGATACAAAGGAACATGACAGGATGGGGGGAATGGAACTGTCCTATATCTCGATTGTGGTGGTGGTTACCTGATTGTATCTGTCAAAACTCTTAGAATTTGACACTAAAAAAGGGTTGATTTTACTGTATATAAATTATACTTAAAGATAATGAGTACAGAGTTTCAGTCTTACAAGATGAAAAAGAGTTTGGAGATTGGTTGCACAACCATGTGAATGTGCTTAACACCACTGAACTGTACCCTTAAAAATGGTTAGGATCAGGGGCCGGCCCGGTGGCGCACTGCTACAGTGCGCCGCTTGGGAGCGCGGTGGCGCTCCCGCCGAGGCTTCGGATCCCACATACAGACCGGTTCCCGCTCACTGGCTGAGCGAGGTGCGGGCGCAGCACCGAGGTTTGCGATCCCGTTGCCGGTCCTGGTCCGGTACAGGCGCGACACTGAGGGTTGCGATCCCGTTGCCGTCCCAGTCCGGTATGGGCGCGACACTGAGGGTTGCGATCCATTGCCGGACACGAAAAAAGACAAAAAGGAAAAAAAAATGGTTAGGATCAGAGATAAACTGTGTAATATGTATTTTACCACAATTAAAAAAATATATATACAGAGTGAGAAAGTTCTCTCTAATCTGATAGAGATCTCGAGAATATAATACTAAGGGAAAAAAGTAAGGTGCAAATAGTATTTTGTAAGAGAAAGGGAAGGGGATATAAGAATATACCTTAGTACTTACATTTGCATTACAAAAAAAGGAAGAATTCACAAGAAATTAGCAAAAAGAACTGGGTGTGGAGTGGGAAATAGAAGCAAGAATTTTCAACATATGTGTTTATATACTGTTTGGCTCGTCAGCACCTTCCAGCCAAAGACCAGGAACATACCTGTCATTGAGCAAGTTGCAAGGAGAGAGCGCATGCCATGAAGAACTACAGGGTGTTGCAGGAAAAGTGTTAGAAACAATTGCAGTGGTATTTGGACTTGTGTTAGGTCATGCTGGAAGGGGGTCATGGAGAGGGGCTTTGTTCCGGACTGGGTGCTGTCGGGAAACAGGACACTTTGCTTGGATATTGTAAATGATGCATCTTATCTAAAGGGTGGAAGGAGGGGGGCAAAGCTGCGACTGGTCAGGAAGCAGCGGCCCTCACATTACCAGGATGGGGGCTGTTTGGTCGTCTGTGTGGTTTAGACAATGTTCTTGTTTTTGTTCGAGTCCAGATGTGCTTATCAAGCGGTCTTGTGTTTGTCCTGACCTGTGATGGTCACAGANTTTTGTAAGAGAAAGGGAAGGGGATATAAGAATATACCTTAGTACTTACATTTGCATTACAAAAAAAGGAAGAATTCACAAGAAATTAGCAAAAAGAACTGGGTGTGGAGTGGGAAATAGAAGCAAGAATTTTCAACATATGTGTTTATATACTGTTTGGCTCGTCAGCACCTTCCAGCCAAAGACCAGGAACGTACCTGTCATTGAGCAAGTTGCAAGGAGAGAGCGCATGCCATGAAGAACTACAGGGTGTTGCAGGAAAAGTGTTAGAAACAATTGCAGTGGTATTTGGACTTGTGTTAGGTCATGCTGGAAGGGGGTCATGGAGAGGGGCTTTGTTCCGGACTGGGTGCTGTCGGGAAACAGGACACTTTGCTTGGATATTGTAAATGATGCATCTTATCTAAAGGGTGGAAGGAGGGGGGCAAAGCTGCGACTGGTCAGGAAGCAGCGGCCCTCACATTACCAGGATGGGGGCTGTTTGGTCGTCTGTGTGGTTTAGACAATGTTCTTGTTTTTGTTCGAGTCCAGATGTGCTTATCAAGCGGTCTTGTGTTTGTCCTGACCTATGATGGTCACAGAGCGGCCCTGTCTGATGTTGGTGGTCTGTGACACGGTTTATGTTCAATAGGAGAACACCAAGGCCTATGGGATAGTTCCAGGCCCCAAACAAAGAAAATGTCCATCAACACATAAACAGGTAAACAAGTTGTGCTTTCTCCATATTGTTCAGCAATAAAAAGAACAAACTGCTAAGACATGCGACAACATGAATGCATCTTTACAGTGTTGTGCAATGGGAACTTTACAGCGGGAAGCCTGGTGGCTCCCACCTCGGCCAAGTGACCAGTGATAACATCGCCAGTAGTAAGACGTGTCAACTTAACCTACCTCCTGATAGGATGCAACAAGAAGAGCAAAGCATCACTTGTGTGGTGTGTTCCCAAACATACATTACCTCCATTTAGTTATGACAAAACACCAGACAAACCCAAACTGAGGGGCGTCTACAGCAAAACTGGTCAGCACTCTTCAAAAAAGCACCAAGGTTATGGAAGAAAAAGACCAGGGAACTGTCCCAGGTCCTAAGGAACATGACAGCTAAATGCAATGTGGGGCCCTAGATTGGATTCAAGACCTGAAAATGGATGTTAGTGGGACAACAATGAATGAAGTCTATAAATTAGTTAATAGTACACTGTATATGTAAATGTCTATGTATAGTAAATGTCCTAGTTTAAATCACTGTACTCTAGTAAAGTAAGATGCTAACATTAGGGGAAATCGGGTAAGTACTATATGGGAACTCGGGTAAATACTATGTGGGAACTCTGTAACATTTCTGTAAGTCTAAGATTATTTCAAAATAAAATTATTTGAAATAAAATTACTTCAAAATAAATTACTTAAAAAAAAAAAGTAAAGAGAAGCATTATGCTAAGTGAAAGAAGCCAGACACAAAGGACT